AACATATTTGTTGACTTGCCGCCTGAATTTGTGACTGGTGAATCTGAGCTTCTCAAAACAGTACTTTGATCCAAGATCCCGAATTTCTGGGGGAGCGCTTCGAGCAACCTTGGATCCATTCATTTTCCCCATCTAACTATGGTATGTAGATTCCATTACCGGTGTTCAGATCCTGGATCCAAGATCCAAGATTGCTGGCAACATTTTGGTGGAATCTCGGAACCGGGAACAGCCCCCTTGAATGCTAAATACCTGCATTTAGAAATGTAAATACAGGTAGCTTCGATTTCAGGAGTATCACTCAAGGATCCAAGGTTGCTCCCGTAAGTCTCCACACATCTTGGATCTTGGATCCAGGGTCTCAATGCCTGTTGGATCCCGGGTCTAAAAAATAATACTGGTATCTAGAAATTCAACTGCTGGTATCTTGAATTCTATCCTTTTTGTCATTTATTTGTCGAACGCCTAGACGGCAGTGGCAAGAATACAGGGAATTGGGGGCACAAGGGGTGGGCGCACCATATATACACACATACATATATATATATGTTTGTCATTCGGGGGAGGGGCCATATTATACATGTATCATTGCCTCCGGCAGGAAAGGTGAGAACGACTACTCGAAGCAGCTGATCACGGAGCCATTTGCTTCTTGGCCCGCTTTTGTCCTATGGCCCTCCCCGCCCCTTTGAGAATGGACTTGGGGGAGGGGGGTCTGGAATTCCATGTTTGGTTCAATTTTCCCTTGTATGGAGGAGACTAGACAAATGGAATTGGGGACCCCCTATCCCCTTCCCCGTTTGGGGGGGATCTATGGCCTCCCGTGTGCGCGGGAGGTTCCAAACATGACTTCAACATGCGCATCTGGGCAAGATTAGACAGGACGTAGGGTTTGCGACGTGTTTCCTTCACAAAAGCCTTCTTCTGTCGGTGATTTGTAGTAGTTTGCCCAGATGTGCATATTATATATATGTCTCTGTGCATGTTCATAAAACACATTTCTATTTGTCTTTCACGAGAGTGTTTCAAATTGGCGACCCCCCGCACTTAGAAATCAACAACTCTCAGAGTTGCATAAGCGCGCCCGCCCACGCACGAAAGCACCACGTTCAAAGCCGGACCACCTTCCAACCAGGAGGGATCACTAAGTGGTTGTGTCAAAGTGGGCTCAAAGCAATGGATTCTCACCAGCTCCAATCTCTTCAGGCCTGGGTGCGGAATTGGCGCGACAAGAAGGAAGCTTTTCTTGGTCTAGGTCCCCCAGTGCCCGACCTCTCACCCCTTTGGTTGGGAGGCTTCCACTGAAATAGACAAAAGGGAACAAAAACTCGGGCACCCTTTTGTAACCACCTAGTACTTGTGGCTGGACCTTGTACTTGTGGCCGAGTTTCGCCGAGAAACTGCAACAAAAACCGAGGCGATTCAGTGTCAGCGCTTCTTGCTGCGCTCCCTGCTGGGTGCTCTATGTGGGCTTGCGCTGCACTGGCTCTGCACGCGCCGCACGAAGAAGGACTAAGGCCCGCAAGCCCGGGTTCGGATCTGCAAGCCATCCCGCTGCTTCAATTGTCTTAAGAATATGTTTTTGTTTTGTTTTTTCCTTGTTGGTTTTAAAGGGAATCTATCACCTAGGTCCTCCACCTCTCACCCCTTTTCTGGGGGAGGGTTCCCCCACTAAAATAGACTACAGAAAAATATGCTACCCTGATTCTAACCTCTCTACTGGAGGACCTAGTTGGCATTAAAGGGAGTCTATTTGTTGGAAATGTTGTTTATTTTTTCCAGGGGCTTAAGCAAACGGAAGCCTGCGTTTGCCTGGTGTGGCGTGGGTGACCCCAATCCCATCAATGGTCTTACTTGGTAAGGAACCAGAAGTCAATGGCTGTGGGCCTCTCTTTGTGGTTTTGTTGCAAACTATCAGGCTCAAAGACATGCTTGCTGCTACAAAGGCGGTGGAACTCAGACGGTGCAGGTGACTTTTTTCGCCCAAAGGTCAAGGATTGCAATCCCCCTCAATGCGCAGGGGAGCCCTGGAATTTCATCAATGCTGGGGAGCGCGTTGTTTTTCTTCTTTTTTTTCTTCCGTTTTTTGTTTGTCTTTTTTGGGGAGGTCTGCTGGAGTCTTCATCACTTTCTGCAAAGGAACCATCCCACTGGGAAACCACTGCCCAGATGACCTAATCATTTTACCATCAGTTCGGCCAAATTGACATCTTGGCGCGTGTTTTTTGATTGCAACATGGTCTAAAGCCAGTATCCTTCGTTGGAATCCTTGATCTTGCTGAACAAATAGAAGGCATCGCCTCATGTTTTGTTTGAATTATGGTTGACAGTTTCTTCATGGGGCTTAGCCCATGCTGCTTGCACTCTTTATGATTGAAGGAGGCCTGGCATCCTTCTTGCTCACCGATGCTGCCATTGCTCAGGAGCTGGCCAAATAGTGTGGCCCAACCGTTTCACGCTGTAAGCGCCGGGAAGGTTCTCACAGAGCGGCCGTCTGGACAAATTGAGAAGTATTCCCAGTAGTGATAGATTCCCTTGAAGACCAACAAGGGAAATAAAGAAAATTCTTAAGCAAATGGAAGCTTGGCAGCTTCTTTTGGTTTGTCGTGTCCGCGCATACGAGACAGATCAGCCAGCAGGTTGAACGCCATGTTGCTCCTTGCTTCAGCTTATCCGTTTCGATAATTTTGAGCAGAGATTGAATACTTAGCTCGTGGCATCTTTGGCATCTTTGGATTCTACATTGCCCTTGCCAGTGACGTGGTGCATCACCCCTTTCGGACTTTGCTCGCAGATCCGGACGCGGAAACGAAGGCGCCCTTGGGATGCAAAGCATTCAAAGGGCAGCGGTGCAGCGCAATCAACAGATTGTGGGCCTGGTCTATGCCCAAAGTGGCGCTGGCATTGCGAAGGCTGCGGTTCGTCCGGTTCGGGCCATGTGGGTAGGGGTCAAACAAATTGTCACCGGATGTGGACCGCAGGTTTTAGGCCTCGTTGTCATGCACGGTTCCATTTGGGGTACCTAGTTTTGACCCACGCCCATTTTTGGCAACATTCTGCCGCGTCGTGTGGCACCGCATTTTCTTATCGGCCGAGCCAGCTGCATTTGAACTCGTGGCGGGTTCGAGGTATGGCAAATCGCGCGGCGTCAGTTCGGCCCATTCATGGTCGCGCCCTGTTTGCTCCCTTGCAGAAATTGCGAACGTTCCTTGAAACATGGTATGACTTTATGAACAAAAGCCCCTAGACGGTCCCTTTAGAGAGAGAGAGAGAGACGGTCCCTTTGCAGGAACACAGACCATGAATGGAGAACACCCTCACAAATGGTTGGCTGTCGTATATGTAAACAATGTCCACCAAAGCGTGCCCATTTAATCCTTTCTGGTAGCTGCTTCAACCTCATGCTCAGCTGAGCAAAGAATATTTGTCCAATGGCCGGCCTTACCTCGGACGGCTCGCTCCGGTCCGTAGCGCTTTTCCGGCTCCGGGAAAAAAAGAAAGCGCTGAAGCTCGCCCAGTCGAAGTCAGCTTTTGGGAGAACCGTGCGTGAGTTGTCTGAACCACAAAAACCTTTTGCAATAGAGGGATGCCTTGCAAGACTGCCATCCTCTCGGAAAAAAAGGCCCCTCCACTTCCATATCCACTGGGCTGCCTTAGCTGGCTTTTCCCCCGGCGGGGTTTGCGGGCTTATCGCCCCAGATGAGATGAAAGGTGGCCGATGCTTTCCCTTCCATTGTTTTGCTCGCGCCGAAGTGAGCGACGAAGTTCTAAGCTCAGTAAGCCAACCTTGTGACCCCGATTCCCAGCTTTTTTTAGTCCACTTTTGAAGAAACGGTCCGTAGTGGTTGGGCAGTCGTTGTTTTGTTTTGAGGCCACCCTGTTGGGGTTGGAACTTTGAAGGGGGACCAACAGTAAAACACCGCCATTTGTGCCCCCTTTTTTTGACACACCGAACGTGGAGGTTCTCAGCGACTCAGCGCGGGTGAATGAAAATGGAAGCTTCCCATTCGATGGCGCACGGTACTCGGTTTTTAGTCACACCCCACATGGATGTGATCTTGGTGGCTCCCATCCATCCGGTTCCTTAGCCTTTTTAGCCTTTTAGTGTTTTAGTCTTCAGTGGGGGATTTCCGAATTTAGCCCAGCAAGAGTTAGTCACTTTGAGCGGGGGATCTGAGGACAGCCCAGTGAGGCCCCAGCACCAACTTGAGACTGGGATCCCACCTCGCCGAGTTGGTCCTTGTGGTTTCTTCCCCTTAGAAATTTTCAGAAGGTCTGAAGTAGCGAGCTTTTTTCGGGGTGGTGGGGATGTTCCTGTGAAGGGTAGCCATGCAGGATGAGTCCTTATTTGCTCAGATCCCTGAGTTAGTGGTTTGTGCTGAGGCCTATGCAGGAATTCCCCTTTGCGACGTGATCGTTATCAAGCAAAAGCTTGTTAAGCATCAAGAAAAATGCTGACATCATAAAACAACCTGTTAGGCATCAAGGAAAAACTCATTGCCATTATTCGTTGCCATTCCCGAACAACTGCGCAGAAGGAAGGGAAGGGAAGGGAAGGGAAGGGAAGGGAAGGGAAGGGAAGGGAAGGGAAGGGTAGGGAAGGGAAGGGAAGGAAAGGGTAGGGTTGGTAGGAAGGAAGCAAGGAAGGAAGGACTGCCTACTGGGTTCCACACCGAACCGACCTTAAACCCATCCTAAACCTACCCTAAACATTTATATACCTGCTCTAAGCCAAACACCCTAAACCAAGCAACCCCAGCAAGCTCTAAACAAAGCAACCCTGGGAGTGCCCGGCAAGTGTTGTTTGAGAAGTTTTGTTTGATGGCGCGGTTCCTGTCTGGTTGTTTACAGCCTTTTGCAGCAACATAATGCCCAATACTTTTTTGTCTGATGCTTAATAAATTGGTTCTTGATTTTTAGAAATACGTTTTTTGGATGCTTGATAAGTGTTTGTTTGATGCCTCGCCCTTTTGCAACCCCCTGACAGAAGCTGACCCAAGGCTGGGCGTGCTCAATGCGGAGCTGGCCCTCTACACCTTCGCAATGCTCGGGCGCCGAGGTTTTCGGATGGCCATGTTGGGCCGGATTGCTTTGAGGGAAGCATGTCCTTGCTGGATTTGTCTTAGAAACCAGCAACAGGCAATTCTACTGGAAATTGGCCAAAGCACCAAAAACAAGGAAGTCCTGCATATTATCCTGTAGCGGGTTTCTTGGATTCAGTTTGCATGTGGTGGTTCCCAGCGAATCGTTTGATAGACTTTGAGTTGTGTGTTGTTGGTTTAGTGGTTGGGTTTCCATGTTACCCGTGAAAAGTTAAACTTGTAGCAGGGGATCTGAGAACAGCACAGTTTGGTTGAGCATGTATGGATTGCATTGGCTTCAGGATTCTTATGCGCGAAATCCATTTGTCCAAAGGGACACCGTGTGCTCCAAGACTTAGGTGGTTTTCAACGCCGTGTGGCAGCTCATGAAAACATAAAAGCAGCCCGGCCACTCGTTGAATACCAAAGGCTATCTGCCGGCAATGGCGCGTGCCGCCTGGGGTTTGAACGTCCGTGAAGGCGTCATGCGTGTTGTGCTTGTTCTGCTTTAAAAGTCGCTTCGGGGCAAATCCTGAAGGTAGCCTCGTTCACCAAGTAAATGTCTAAACTGCTCAGGGTTTCAGATGAAGACAGTGCATGCCTCCTAAGGAGCAACGGTCACGCAGAGCATGCGGCGACGTACCGAGACAGCCTCCGCCGACGACTCAGGGTTGCAGTGCGCAGAGCTACCAATCCGCTGGATCCCACCCCCAGCGAAATGCCAAATGGATTTGCACCCAGCCCCGGAGAGGAGTTTCACAAAGGCATAGCAAGTGTGCCAGGAACTCAGGAAGTGAGAACGTGGCACGGGTCCCTCGCAGATAAAACTGATCAACACCTGAAAAGGAAGTCATCTCGAAATGACCCAGCGGAGTTTGTCGGGCTGTTCCTCCCCCTTGCAGCACTGTATGCTTTTTGGTATGTCCATTTGGGCGGCAGACAGGGATATGTACGGATCCCTTTGGACTTTGGACTTGTCTTTCAAATATGGGCAGAGGCCCCAAGCTTCGCGCTTGGCCGCTGCGGGTGCTGATAGGCAGGGCGTGACCTTTCCTTGAAGATGCTTTGCATGCATGGATGAATGCCTGCACCAATGACTCGACCCCCCTGTAAATACCAACGAACGTGATGTTTGTTTCAACCAGGGTTTCATTTCGTGGTGCGGTTTCGGATTTCGCAACCATCCACAGTAGGGACCTGTTACGCGCAAAATCCCATCTTTGAGGAGCTGTTCCGCTTTCAAACAACTCCCCTGGCGCACCCGGCCCAGGTTGTTTTGCAATAGGCTGATGGTTGCCATACTGTTTGTGGGCCGTGCATGTTCTGTCACCCTGTGATCAATGCCAAGGTTTTAGACAAAGCAAATTAAGGCGTGAACACAATGTGAACATCATGTGTGTGTGTGATGCACTAAGTCCCCCAGTAGTGCCCTTTTACCCTTTTTTTGGGGGGAGGGTTCCCGTACTAAAGTAGACTGGAGAACAAAAGTTGGTACCAACTTCTTCTAGCCTCCCTACCAGAGGACCTAGTCAAACAAATGTGTGGCTCCCAGCCATCCCCTTAGCTTTTTGGCTTTTTAGAGTTTAGTGGGGTCTTCCATGTAGCCCTCTAAAAGTTAAGCTTTTAGCGGGGGATCTGAGGACAGCCTAGATGTGTGTGTTGTGTGTGTGTGATGTATGTTCCTCTCTGAAAGCGCAAGCCGTGCCACTGGCGCAATGTGGTCAAATCCACCTCGCAGGCGTCGCGGTTTCTTCGCCGCGCCAAGCTTCCAACTCGCTACTCTGAACAAAGAGAATTGTGCCACGTGTCAAAACAAGTCCAGAAATGTGCCAAATGTCAATCAATCAATAGAAATGTACCAAATGTACCAATAGAAATGTACCACAAATGTACCCCCCAGTTAGCTGCCCTTTCGCACCCTTTTTTTTCTAGGAACCGGCTTGGATGCCTTTTTTTGTGGTGAAAAGAACCCGCAGGGGGAAGGACGGGTGAAATCCACAAAAAGCGCATCCAAACCGCTTTCTAGATTTGTTGGTTGGGAGGGTTCCCTTACTAAAATAGACGTGCTGAAAAAAAGTTGGTACCCTTATTGGAACCTCTCTACTGGAGGACCTAGGCATTGTCTCACTTTGTTCGGTTAAGATTTCAGTGCCACCAACATGAACACCCTAAGGTCGTGATCGAAAGATTGGGGCCTTCACCAGCTAGAAAACGGGTTGGATGCGCTTTTTGTGGATTTTCACCAGTTATTTTCCCTGTAGGTTCTTTTTTAGTACTCTTTTACTACTCTTTCAATACCCAGGAGTGGATCCACAGATTCGCCCACATGGGTATGGGTCAACATTAAACCACCAGGCCACCGCAAGTTTTGGTCTATGTTTCCACTTACCAGGGTTCCATTTGGGGTACCTTGTTTTTTGACCCACAGCCACATCCAAGCCGTTTTCTCGAAGTTCGGCTTGGGCCAGAGGCAAGCCACTCGCAGGTTCGCAGTGGCCCCTGCTGCTGCTGATCTCGTGCGGCCCCTGCTGAGAGAAAATCTGCTCCCGGGCAAAGCCTCCGTGAAGCCTGTTTTCCAGGGCGAAAAACACGTGGCAAAAAAGCTAAGGAACCCATGAAATGGACTTCCGATGAACCGATTCCCGATGAATGGAAGTCATTAAATCGATTTCCGATGAATGGACAGGACGAAACCCTGCGGTCCCCTGGCTCTTAAAAAAAAAATCGCGCCGCACCCCGAAGCTGAGAGAGGCCCTTCTGGGCTCTGTGGGATGGGTCGTTGCTTCCATTTGCTGAACGATATGTTTTCCTTTTTGATACCCGCTCCATAGTGGCCCCCTTCCAACCACCAGCGACTATTATTTGGGCCAGTTGCACTCAAAGGCTGACTTCCATTTGCTGAACTGAATATTTTGTTCATTTTCCCTTAAGGGCATCGATTTCACTTCTGGAAATATTGTTAATTAGTTTTTTCCCTGGTGGGCTTAAGCAAATGGAAGGTGTGGTCAGCAAACGACTGAATGACCTGTTGGCTTCTCCCGCGGAATGCGCAAGCGGTAAACCGGTAAACCTGACCTCGCAAGATGAGCCCGGCAGCCCGGGCAACAGCACACGGAGCTTCACAGACCCAAGCTTTCCATGGTGCTTGAAGTGCGAGGTACAAGTCTCCTGTTTAGCCCCTTTCGTTATATCAAAGAAGTGGTTATTTTCGACAACCCTGCTCCAGTTAGTTTAGGCAGGGCGTGCCTCGGCCAGATGAACCACATGGTTCTAGTTGATTCCTTTTCCATTCTTTTCAACCATCGTTTTTTTCAACCCCAGGGATGCCTGGAAAGAATGGAAATGGAAGGTGCCCCTAGAATGGTGCTTGAAGTCTCCAGTTGGTTCAGGCAGGGCGTGCCTTCGGCCAAGCGTACCCCAGGTACATTCGGTTGCAACGGGTCCCGAGGCCGGATGCCCTGCGAGAGCAAGTGCCAGAAGGCGTGTGGGCCCGCGCTCACCAAGCTACACGTGACAGACGCGTGCGCAAGAAGTTGAAGGCCTTAAGAAAGGACCGATGGCCAGGTTTTTCTGAGACGTGGCTTTGATTGAAGGCGAAGAGAACAAATGGTTGGCAGTCAGCACATATGGTAGCAGTTGGGAGGCTGCTTGTTGCTTGTGTCTTTTAACAAGGGGCAACAGTGAATTGGATGGTGCAATAGTTTCGTTGCGCGAGTGTGCGTTTGTAATGGCTTTCTGTTGCTCTCCGTGGTTTTTTTTGGTGCGGTGTGCCTCGGAACTGTTGGCGTCTGTGTGCGTGACTGTCGATGTCTGCCCGTAGGAAGCCGGAAGGAAGGGCTTGGGTCACTGAGTCATTGCTTTTAGGTACCAACACTCAGTTCTTCAAAGCGAATCGACCTTTTGACGCTTTGACCTTCTCCCATTTTGATTCACTTACTTTCTGAGTTGATGAACTTTAAACTGTTTGGGAAGACCATTCTAGTGGTAAATATAAAGTTTGGACTTTTTTTGGGCCATCCACTCAGCAATATGGTCCATATTTAGTCATGGCCCCAAAAGGTGATCACCTTTTAGTTCCGGGTCCTTGGGGCAACTGAGAACACCCATGCCAAACACGTCGTTCCATTATGTCAGAATCATGTTTTGCACGACAGCTTCCAACTCAGGAATCATGGTGACAGCTGGCTGGGGTCGTCATGCCAGGAGTCCCCGACTTCGCGAACAGTCGCCAAGCAAATTGTCTAGATGTGGAGAATCCGGCCGGGGGCCCAACATTCAGGTTTTGTTTTGTGTGTGGAATGGTGGGCCACTGCCAAGTGGGTCAACGTTTGGCAACATTCTTCATGTTTGCTTTATACAATAGTTTTATATAGAAACCATGCTGATGAAGAGTTAAGCTTCCCGAGTAAACGCACGTGTCAAACCAGGGACCCTTGTTCAGTGCTGTAAGGGGCAAACATGAAGCCAGCCGTTTGGAGGACGTCCCAGTTTCGACACTGAGCCACACTACTGTATTTCAGGTTTGTCTTTACTTTTGCTGTACGTTTCATTCAGCTTACTTTGCTCAGCGAAACTCACATGTCCAACATACGTGTTGTTATGTTTTGCTTGTTGGGACCCCTTAGCCAGTTTTTGACCAGAATCCGAAAGACCCCACGATGGGGGCTCAGCTGACAACCCCGCAACTCTCAGCGTTTTTTTTGGCAAACCGAGCCTTTTGGTTTGGCGCACCAAATTGCCAAGACAGCGACCCTGGGTCTGAGAACCTCACGTGCTCACACAGCTTCACCTCAAGGAAACCACACAATTGCGCTCGTTTACCTTTCCAAGCCCCACGTCCCTGGAGGCTTCCCCAAAATTAGCTCCCCTTTTTCAGGTTTTATATTTTGGGGTCCCCTTTGTTTTCCACGAACCAGGCAAAAGATACAGTTGTTTGCCGGGCTCCTCATTCCTTCATTTGGGGAAAGCACCAATTGAGTGAAACCTGTGGATGGACAGAATCGATTCTGCAGCAGTTGGGATGCATGGTTCATCGCTTTGCTTGAAACCACCTACTTGGGCCAAACTTACTGGTTCTCAGTAGGGAAAGGAAACCAAATCGGGAACCTTTTTTGGAAGAAGCGGAAAAAAGAGAGAACCAAAATGGGTCGAAACCACCATTTTGGGGGTCTCCTAGGCCTGTTCTGTTGAATCAACCTGGAAAACCCACACAACGGATACACATATTTTCTCGAACGACCTTCCGAGCCCCTTGTGGGCTCCCTTCTGAGCTTAACACCCACAAAATGGGGTCGGATTCTCTCGAACGACCCCCAAATTGGGTTCGCTTCTCCTTCTCTTTCGCGAGCGACGAGATGCTGGACTGGCGGGGCTTCCAATCCGTCTTCTACGGCGAGCGCCGCAAGGAGTGGCCTCGGGCCCCAGCTCGGGTTTTGTGGATCTCAGACGCCCCCGAACAATGCAGAGCGCCCAACTCATCTAGGTCCCCCAGCTAGGTGCCCTTTCTCACCCCTTTCTTGGTTGGGAGGGTTCCCCTACTAAAATAGACTACAGAAAAAATGGTACCCTTTTTCTAACCTCTCTAAGACTACTGGAGGACCTAGTCACCTTTGTTTTTTTCAACCGCCATCCGGTTCAACGGAGCTTTAGTGTGTTGGTTTTCGTTGGTTTGGTGGTTGGGTTTCCGAATTCTACCCAAACTCACCTTGCAGCTTCCCTTCAGCCTCTGAGAGCATCAAGAACCGTATCTAACTCCCTGAGTTCCGTTTCGGACTTTAAAAAACACGTTTTGGGCTTGGACCGTTTTAGTGGTACCCCAAAGGCGCGTGTTGTATTTTTTTGGGGGCAGTTTAATTCAGGAAGTGAGGTATAGCTCAAAGACAAGCGCTAGACTCAGTGTAAACCTCAGGGTTTCGCCTGGGTGGAGTCTCAGCTATCATCAGGTTGCCCCGCGTCGAACCGGGCTTAGGATGGAGACCTCCATCCGCTACGTGTATTCCTGGCAGATGTCGCAGATCCCGCAGGAGCCGTTTTGCCCATGGGAGCAGTGGTCTTGTTGCGTTCCTCTTTGGCTTCTTACGGCCTTACGGGAAAAAAAACATCTCCGCGCTGGGTGGTGCTTCGCAAAAAGCACTTTGCTTTTGGTGGGGTGATGTGTAATTTGGACGTGGAGGAAACCGGCGGAGGGTTGATGTCGTGTTCGCCTTAAGACTGTCCGTCGAGATGCCACAGTTTGTCGAAGGGTCAAAGTCAGCTGGGACAGTATGTCGAAGTAATGCCGTGCCCGTGAGTCCTACCCATTGTGAATGATCGAGAGTTGAAACAAATGTGCTATGGATGACTCGATGACTCCACCGGAGTCCATCGCAGAATTTCAGGGAAACCATCTAGCAGAGATACAGGGCAACCGGGGATACCTCCTTCCCCCGTTTGCTGCACCTTGACTAAGTTGGATATGGGAAATGGCGTCAAGGGACTCCCCCCATATCGGGACCCGCCTCCCTCCGTAATGTTGACCCAGCATTAATAAACCCGTCCCATTATTAATGGGGGGGTTCCCTCCAAAAGTGATAAAACCCCACTAAAAGGAATTGGACACCCCCCAATCTATTAATCAACCAGGGGGTCTGCTTAGATCCGGGGTGAACCTTGTCCCCGGAGTTGATTGAAAGCTTCTCACGTGGACCTCTCAGATCTCTCGAGGAGTTGGCCAAAGAATGCCTTCTGGGATTCCTGACGGCAATGCTGATCAAGGCCCTTCTGAAAACTTCGGACGGTGTCAACCAGTTGCCAAGTCGTGCCCTTTCTTCCTTTTTTTTTGGGGGGGGGGGGGGGGGGAAGGGTTCATTTAAAGGCAACCAACCAAAAAGGATGCCCTTTTTTTCCCATTGCCACCGGGCATCTGAGTTTTTGTTTCCGCTTCGTGTCTACTCTTGCTGGCTTTCCTTATCAAGCAAATGTCTATATCGCCGGGGCTTTGGGCAAATGCACAGTTTCTGCGGGCAAGTATCTCTGCAACTCGGCAACTTGTCCAGGCACATGATGCCACGTAGAAAAGTTGAGGAGAACCTGAGCCATGTTGCATTCAAGGCCGCGTCTGATACATGCGCCCCTTTTGCCAGGCATTTACATGCGCCACGTCAGAGAGTACCTGCTACGAGAGCTTTGCGCAGCAGGCGCAACCTTTGTGATGTTTGGAGCCGCGTTCTCCATACCTAGGTCCTCCAGTAGTGTCCTGTTACCTTTTTTTGGGGGGAGGGTTCCCCTACTAAGATAAACTACAGAAAAACATGGTACCCTTATTCTAACCTCTCTACTGGAGGACCTAGATGCAGTTTCTGCATCCCTGAGCCACAACACCCCACTTTCCCGGAAGCTAGACACTCACCTCTGAGCAAAGCAGCTAAGCTTGAATACTGCATTTAGTTGGGTTTGGGGGTCCTGAATTTTGAGACACCTGCTGAACACAGGCAAGGGCAATGTGCTCTTCGTCTTTTTACTCATCCGTTTGCTCAAATTGAAAAAATGACCGCGCCTACGGTAGCTACGGATTTTGCAAGCCTTCGGATTTGAGGGAGGGGGGGTGAGCACCTTCGCAGATAGAGAGCTTCTTTGCCAAGGAGTTTGGGTCTCAGTATGGTTCGACGGAGAATCCGGGCGGCACGAGATCGAGGGGACAGAATTTTAGTCGAAGCCATCCCCATGGCTGTGTTTTTTCCTTTAACCCCATTGCCCCATGTTGACTGGTTCAAGCGGAACCCAGGGGCAAATCAAAAACCAGGGAGGGGTAATTTAAATTCGCGACAAACTCCTGGACAAAAACGGGTGCAAACACCCGATAAATCAGCCAAACTGTCTTGTGCTGCCTCTGGCTCACATGGCTGGGCTTCTTTAAAATGGTGAGGCTAAAGCAGGTAGCAACCGGCGCCATTGCGTGAGAGAGCTGACTTCTGCAGCTTCGTGAGCACAAGGCGTTCTGTGCTCACGCGCTCCGCCCAAGGCCGAACTTCTTCGAAGTACTGGCCCACAGCGGCTTGGCCAGATTCGCGCTGTCTGTCTTGGTGGCTCCCATCCGGTCCTTAGCCTTTCTGTCTTGGTGTTTAGTGGTTCTTCAGCTCCATGGCAATCGACTTGGCTCCCATGCCTCCGGTTCCTTAGCTCTTTTAAGTTTTTTTTTTTTTTTAAGGGTGGTTGAGTGGTTGGATGTCCATTTGGCCGTGGGTCAACACCAACGGGATCCCATTTTGGTTGGTAGGTGAATTCACCACCCATGCTAGAACCTATTTTAGTGGGGATTGGGATGTTCACGGAAGGTACGGGGTTTTGACCCATAGCCATTTGACCCACAAAAAAAATATTCACTTCTAGCGGAGCCGAAAACGGGCACAGCTGTGAGCTCTTCGAGTCCGCAAGTGCTTGGGATGTGCGAAACTTCTTGAAATGCGGGGCTGTTTGGGTTGCCTCGCTCAACTACACGTTGACTACTTGTACCTCCAAGGCTCTACGTTCGCCGTCGAATATGCAGACGAAACACCGATTCCTGGGGCACGGAAGCATGTTTCTAGGGGGGGGTGGGTGGGGGGGGGGGCTTGTAGTATCGCTGTACTTTGCGCAGAGCTGATTTGGGAACGTGTCAACATAGCGAGGGGCTAGCACATATGTTGGTTTCCTTTGGTAGCTTGTCCTCAGAAAGCCAAACAGAACGTCAGGGGGTCCCAAAAAGCACATGGGTATGAGTCAAAATTAAACCACCAGGGGACCGCAGGTTTTAGTCTATGTTACCACTTGTTCAATTTTGGGGTTACCCTATTTTCACCCACAGCCACACAAAGCTACTTGGCTGATTTAGGAACGTGTCAATATAGCGAGAGGTCTTCACACACCTTGGTTTTCCTAACAGAACGTCAGGGGGTCCCAAAAAGGCACATGGGTATGGGTCAAAATTAAGCCACCAGAAAACCGCAGGTTTTAGTCTATGTTACCACTTACCAGGGTTCAATTTTGGGGTTACCCTATTTTCACCCACAGCCACGCAAAGCTACTTGGCTGATTTAGGAACGTGTCAATGTAGCGAGAGGTCTTCACACACCTTGGTTTTCCTAACAGAACGCCAGGGGGTCCAAAAAAACATTAAAACCAAAAAACAAACATAACCGCTGTTCAGTTACTTTGGGCCTTGGCGCCAAGGCCGATGGCCCTGGGCGATGATTATCAACCACATGGCCCGCTCAGCGCGGCACAAGTACTTCCTGGACTTCAGTGAGGCTCGCGGCTCAGACTCCTTTGTAGGCTCTCCACTTCCAACCAGAATTAGCTCCCCCTTTTTGCTTTTTTGCTTTTTGGGGGTTCCTTTGTTTTCCACTACCCAGGCACAAAATATGTTTTTGCTGGGGTTCTGATTCCAGCCTACACTACTTGATCCCTTGGTAAGGCCTTGTTAAGGGCTTGTTAAGGGCTTATCCTAGGCTTATCAAAGGGGTGTTGCTGAAAATTTAGGACTTCCAGGTGAGGTGGTTCACTTGACTGCTATTGGGCAACGGGTCTTTAGACTTTTGGCTGAAATCATTTGGGGTTTTCCGAACAAAACCCCCAAAAAGTCGAACTTTTTGCAGGGGGGTCGTTCCAGCAACCAAGTCTACATCAGGGTGACCCCTTTTTGGGTGGCTCAAGGAAACCAAAAGGAAACACAACACCTGGAGAAAACTCCAAAATGAGAACAACCGTCTCGGGTTTCCAGAGATGGTTTTGTGAAGGGGACCTTTAGGTTTTAAAGGAAACCCATTTTGGAAGCCAAAATTGGATGAGACTGTCTTGGGTGAAAATAGGCCCCCCCCCCATTTTGGCTGAAGGGAATTGAGCCCAGAGTCACCCTGGTGTACTAATGGTGTACTCTAAATCCCGGGTTCCAACCATTTCCTACAAAGGGGTTGGTTCAGCCAACACGTTTTGGGCCAAGTTGAAGTCCTTGAGCACGCAAATCAAGAGACACCATTTGGCTTAGTACTTTCAGGCGGCAACGAGTTCCACGCTCCATGACCATCTTGCACAGACACGGATGCACAGGGCATGCGTGAGAATGCACGGGTGGTCAGCTCGATGAAACCCAAGGCCTCCCAGCCAACCCAAGGCTCCCTCTCTGAACAGTCAGTTCACGAGCTGAGGATAAAAGTTGCCATGCCTTGTTCATGAGATGCCATGCCTGTTGCGGCCTCTTGTACCTTTCACCCAAAGGATCCCCACCCCCTGAAAAATGGAATTCGGGGAGGGGGGTGACCCTGGAATTCGAGGTGTGGTAACCCATTTCCCTTTTTGTGGGGGAAGACTAGATAAATGGAATTGGGTCCCGGACCTCCCCCTCTATCGGCAGGGGGGATCCCAAAGGCCAAACTGAAAAAGCTGAGCCCAGCCAGACCGCAGCCTCCTGCTTGACCCTCCCACGGAACGGACTCGCTCGGGTTTCAGAATGTTTCCCGTCTTCCGATCATGTTCAAGCCCTATCTCCAGATAAAACCTCGTTTAAGTTCATTTGGGACTAGTTGGGGTCATTTCCCTAGGGTGTATATAATGGGAGAACCTTTAGAATCTCAAACTCCTTTGCCAAGGGATGACCTTGTTTTCGAAGACACTGGACACGTGTCCATGCGTCCGGCCCATGTTGGGCATTGGGATTTCAGATTCGCGGCCGGAAAAAAATCATAGAACGCAAACCTGGAGAACTTCAGGCGTGCAGCCCGAAAACAAGATATATATATATATATATATGGGTTTGTCTTTTTTTGGTGTGTTGAGTTGCTTCAAAAGGCAGAAGGTGGGACCTCCCCGAATCATACCCCCGAATCATACCCCCGAATCATACCCCCGAATCATACCCCTTAAAACGTATGCTGCAAGATGCTACTGTTCTTCTACCGTTTTGTGTTGTTCACTGTCTCCACAACAACCACCACCAGCGCTACCCAATACTACCACTGCCACTGCCACTACTACTACTACTACTACTACTACTACTACTACTACTACTACTACTACTACTACTACTACTACTACTACTACTACTACTACTACTACTACTACTACTACTACTACTACTACTACTACTACTACTACTACTACTACTACTACTACTACTACTACTACTACTCCTACTACTTACTACTACTTTTAGTACTACTACTGCTACTACCACTACTACTACTACTACTACTACTACTGCTACTACCGCGACTACGAGTATTACTGCTGCTTCTACTTCTGCTTCTGTTACCCTTACTACTAACTACTGCGACTACAACCTTTACTACTACTACTACTACTACGACTACTACCTTTACTACTACTACTACTACTACTACTACTACTACTACTACTACTACTACTACTACTACTACTACTACTACTACTACTACTACTACTACTACTACTACTACTACTATTCCTGCTTCTGCTGCTGCTGCTACTACTCACTACTACCACATACATCATTCTGAGTGTGTAATCAGTGCCGTTTTGCACCTAGCCGAATCATACCCGCGAATCATACCCGAATCATACCCGGACAATGAGCTTCCCCTGCCAAGGCTAGTGCTAAGTCTTTTTCACAGCGTCCGCACCACTACAGCCGCTGCTGCTTATGCTACAGCTGCTACCACTACTTCTGCAACTGCTACTACTACTACTACACTACTACTACTGCTACTACTACTACTACCACAGCTTCTACGAGTTTGTAATCAGTGCCGTTTTGCACCTAGCCGAATCATACCCGCGAATCATACCCGAATCATACCCGCGCAATGAACTGGCCTTGCCAAGGCCAGCGCCAAGTCTTTTCAAAGCTTCCGCGCCACTACAGTCGCTGCTTCTACTGTTACTACTACTACTACTACTACTACTACTACTACTACTACTACTACTACTACTACTACTACTACTACTACTACTACTACTACTACTACTACTACTACTACTACTACTACTACTACTACTACTACTACTACTACTACTGATGTTACTACTACAATATTACTACTAGTACTACTACTTCTGCGAACTGCTACTACTACTACTGCTGCTACTGCTGCTGCTTCCGCGAATCATACCCCCGAATCATACCCCGAATCATACCCGCGAATCATACCTGCGAATCATACCCCGTACTCAAACCTTCCTGCCCGGCCACCCTAAAAAATACAAACCCATGTATATATATATATATATATATGGTCACCCCCCCCCCCCCAAAGATCCACGCCTAGGCTAAAAAACACTGTAAAGCATATATATATATGTATACATACATATACATATATATACATATACATATAGATATAAACCAACAAAGAAAAACCACAACTCCCCCTCTCCATGTGTGACCTCAACTAGGTCCCCCAGCTAGGTGCCCTTTTTAACCCAATTTTTGGTTTGGGAGGGTTCCCCTACTAAAATAGACAAGCCAACAACAATCGGGCACCCTTTTCTAAGCCATTGCCAGGGGTCTGTGTTTTTTCAAGGCAAGCTCCTGGCGGGGATGCCTATGACGCAAGGATCTCAGTTGCCCAAAGCAAATCAATCTTTTGATTTTTTGGTTCTCCTGTTTTGGTCCATATTTAGTCATGGCCCCAAAAGGTGATCACCTTTTAGTCCCAAGTCCGAACTGGGCAACAGAGGGATGCCACACAAGCATGGTTGTTGTTGGGCAGCATTTTCCCATTTTTGCTCATTGTGGTTTAGTGGTTGAAATCCAAATCCACTTCACTGCTAACTCTTGTTTGTAAATTTTTGCTCCCCTAACCCAACGTCAACCAAGCCTGGGGATGCCCAGGGCAAATCAAAACAACTCCCCGAAGGAGGAGCTCTCCGGGAGCGCGACCCACCGCGACCTCGGCAGGCGAGATGGGAGATGGGGCGCGTCGTTGCAAAACTCGGGAGCTGCCTTGAAATTCGTGGTCTTCGCTGACCACTGGGATCAAATGTGTTTTTGTTATTTTGTTTTTGTTTTTTTGGTTGGTTCTGCACGTGTTTTGCAAAACCCGCCGTTGTTGGGCTGTTTGGCTCCCTTCTTAGTAGGGGGATGCAAACAACACTTTTTTTGTTGCTACCAAGGGTTGTAAAAGGTTGCCCAAGCAAACCAAACTCAAGCAAGAGAAGGGTGGACCCTCGAAACAGGATCAGCCGAAATTTGGAGTTCCCCTTCGACAGGGTCCCGAGTGATTTCCCTTTTTGGGTGGTTTTAAACATCACCTTTGCTCTGGCTCACAGTCATTGTGCCTCCGGGTGAGGTGCGCCCTGGGGTGGGCAACCCTCGGGTGTCCATCGTCCACTACCCCCCTCCCCTGGGGGGTGCCCCGCCCCGCTCTGGTCCGGCTGCTCCTGGCGGCCCTCGCTTGCTTGCGTGCGTTGCTGTTGGTTGTGGTTCCGCTCTCGGCTGCGTCATGGTGACCCGGGACCAGTCGCTTCGCGCCACGCTTGCGGCCTTTCGAAGTCCTCCAGGAAACCCAGCCTGGAGAGTGGAGTGCCCAGGTTATCCAGGCGCCTGCCCTTCGACCTGAATCCCACCCCGCTACCTGCGGCCCGGCTTCAGACCTTTCTTCTCCGTGCCCCCCTTGAGTTTCGAGGTGTTCTGGAGCCTGCCCGGGATTTTCGTGCCCTCAATGTCACTCTGCATCCTGGGATGCCTCTGGTTGCCTCCTTGCATGAGGCCACTCCTGTCTGGGCCGTCCCACTTCCGCTCTTACGTCACCCCCTGGCGGTTGTGCACCTGTTTGCTGGCGGGTTCCGTGGGTGGACCCAGGCCTTGCGCACGTTGGCTAGGCAGCATGATTTCTCTGTGGAGACCGAGGTGCATGTGGATGTGGATGATGAAGCCATCAGCACTTCTGCGCACACTGATGCTGGTAGCGTGTGCCACAACCCGGCCTTCCTCCGTGCCTGGCATGTCAAGCCACAGTCCCTTTCTATCCAGGCTGACGTTGCTGATCCGGCCATCCTGAATGCTGTCTCGCGCTTTGGAACGGCTTTGGTTACGGCTTCCCCACCGTGTCCGCCGTGGTCCCGTGCTAGGACTGGCTCTTCACCAGCCCCTGGGTTGGATAGCGAAGCGGGACAGGCTTTCCTGGACCTATTTCTTGCGCCGTGTCTCTCCTTGGAAGTTGAATGTGTGGATATGCTCCCCCGGCACCCGCACTTCCGGATCTTGCAGGCTTTGGCTGTGTGGGCGGGTTATGTTTTCCATTTCCAGCAGGTGCACGAGCATGCCGGCTTTGCTGGTGCCAAGCGGCTTCGTTGGTTGGCCCTTCTTCTGCGCAGTGATGTTGCCCCTTCTTTCCCGGCTCCTGCGGTTCCGCCTCCCATCCCCCGCCCTGTCCCATGGACGGACCCGTCATTCAACTTTGACTTGCCGGAAGCCCCAGCCTACCCATCCGGCTGGGCTCCCCGTCCCGCCGCCCCCCCTTGCGATCAGCCAGAGGACGTCGGCCTACGCATTGTCGACCCGTTCAACAGGGTCCATGAGGTCTCTGCCCCGGCCAATGCTACTCTGTGGGAGATCGTCTGGTCGCTGCCACTGCCTGATCCTCTGTTGGCTCGTGTCCGCCCGTATCAATCAGGTCGCCGTTGGCTTCGACACTACCGCTGATCTCTATGCCCAAGCTACATTGCGCTTGCGAGTGTTTCCACTTCCTGGAGGCGGGCTTGGATCTCAGGCTGAGATGACGGACATCTACTCTGACGAGGAGGCCGATCTTGCCCCCCCTGGCCTTGGCCATGCTGACCCCTGGCTGGTGTCAGACCCTTGGTCATCCGACCCACCATCTCGCAAGCTTGCCAAGTGGGAGGATCTGACCCTGCCCTCGGACCATTTCTTTGTCTATGATGATCCGTCCGAGGATCTCCCGGTCCCTCGGGTCACTCCCAAGCAACTGCTGGGTCCCCACCTTGGGGGCATTTCTTTCGTTACGCGGGCTAGCCTTGCCGATGTTGTGCGCACTACTACCGTTATGCCTACCGTGTTGCTATGCCCGGGAGCAGCCCCCCTCAACCCCCCTCCGCTCCCCTCGGATGCTGCTGTTGAAGGGCCAATCCAACTACCAGCGGGTTGTGTTTTTGGTCCACCTCTGCCCTGGCATTGCCTACCGCCCTGCAGCCAGCATCACCACCATCGTCGATGTGTCCGAGTATGTTGAACTTGTTGTCGAGAGGTATCAAGCCCTCCTCCCGGAGGTCGAATGGGCCCAGGCCGAAGCTGGTGGCATCTCGGTCGCCAAGGCCGCCTTCGCGGCCTCCTTGCCGCAGATTCGCATTGAAGGAGCCTATGCCCACCGACTCCTCAGGGATTCCCCCCAGGGCCTCGGCAAAGTGGTGCAATTCATCATCAAAACCCCGGCGGCCATGCGGCTTTCCGCGCTCCGTTTCTCCGGAGCCTCCCTTTGGTTTGTTCGTGATTATCTGCCGAGGGGAACCTCCCCCCTCGATCACTCACCGCTTCTGGTCGCTCACTCGGGACGGTGTTGCGGACGCTTACACCTTGGGCAGACCGTTGGCTGGATTTGCTGGCCTTGCGCCTCACAAGCGCGGGGTTGCTATTCGCATCCTTCATCGCCATCTCGCGGATGCTCGCCGGACTTTGTTGCAAGGTGATGACAGGTTTTGTGAGCTGAACTATGCAATTGTCGCCCGCCTCCACTTCACTGCGGAAGGCTTCCCGTTTGGTGCCGCCCCTCCTGCCATCGTTTCTGCTGTTCATCGGGCTACGGGAATTGCCGTTATTCCTCTTCGGAGTTTTCGGAAAGGAGGAGTCCTCACCTGGGTTCTTGGCTTTCCCAGCCCACCTTCTCTGTTGCGCTTTCCCATCACGGCTGCGGGCCGTACTGCCGAAGTCTTGCTTGCCCCTGAGGCCCCCCTCGAGAAGCCCAAGGGTCAGGGGAGGCAGCCCAAGGGAGGGAGGTCTGGCCCTCCTCCCTCCCCCCCTCCCTCCTCTGTCTCTGTTGGCTCTTCGGTCTCCACAACAAGCGTATTGATTCGATGGAGCACCGCATCTCTGCCCTTGAGCACAAGACGGACAACCTCGCAGACCAGCTGCGCTCCCAGCACCAGGAGGTTGCGGGCCAGCTCACCAGAATCCTCGGCGCCCTCAAGCCGACCCGGGATCAGGGAGCCCCGAACCCCCCGGCGAAGGCGCCTCGTGTGTCGTCTTGACTAGGCCGTGTGATTCGGCCTATGCATGCCTTCCCTTTTGTCCCCGCCTTTTGGTTCTTCCATGTCTTTGTGGCCTGCTGCGCCTCCGGCGTGATGGGCTTCGATTCCACGTTGGGTTTTCCGGGTGAAGGCCCCTTCATCCTTGGGTCTCACAACATTGGCAGTTTGCACTCGCACCCGGAGGTCTTGTCCTCTGTCAAGAGCCGGTGCGCGAATTCTTTTTCAGGCACTTCAAGGACATTCCGACGCTGCTGGCAACCGTGTGGGAGATCCAAGCGTCCACGGATAACTTGAAGAGACTGAAGATGTCTCCCTGAAAAATTGGTGTGCGCCGCGGCGCGCGACAAGTGCGTCTGTGACGGCTTGTGGATACCGCTGATGCGAGACAATCTGCGGGTGCAGTGCGAGAACTTCCCCCCGCAGATGTCGCAAGAAGAAAAGCCGGAGGAGGCCAGGCTGATAGCGGCGATAATTAGGACGCTGCAGGTCGGCGCCGAGAAGTTCAACAATTTGTTCTTCTACGGGCCACGCAACGCGGGTAAATCCTGCGCGATCGACCCGGTGACGTACATCTTCGGAGCCAAGCTCACATACACCAGGCCTGCAGGAAAATGCAACTTTCCGTTGCAGGGGATTGTGAACAAAAAAGTAGCTGTGCTACAAGATCTGCGACCACAAAGCATGCGGATCGGGTGGGACAGCCTGCTCGTTCTGTTGGAGGGGCAACACGTCGCCGTGCCCATGCCTCGAAACGTGAGGATGTGACGTGGTCTGCAAAGGGCATGCCTTTCTTCATCAGCGGATCTGACAAGCTGCGGATCTCCACGGAGGACGCATACCGCGAAGGTGTGGACGTGGAGACGCAGAACGCCATGATGGCGGCCAGGTTTCGCTATTTTTACTTTCCGCACAGTCGCAGTGAGCGCGACTGTAAGCGGTGCCCGCCATGCGGCAGCTGCGTCACCTCCTGTGTCTTCAGGAGACCCGGATCTCCGATGCCAATGTTCGTACTTTAACCTTCCAGGCCAACCGGAAGGGCCTGTCTCTTCTGCCTGGCCCCCTCCTGGCCCACTCTCAGGATGCCCGGGGGGCGCTGCGTGCCGATTGGGGTGGCGTTGCAGCTCTTTCGCAAAATTGTGCTGTGCGTGCGTTGGATCTCGAGGCCGATCACAGTGGTCTCCTGCCCCAGCTGCTTGCAACCGGCCGAATTCAAGTTTTTTGGATTGCCTTTGGCGGTGTCCATGCCCTGTGTGTCAACTACTACGCATCGACTCGGGCTGCCAAGAGTGAAGTCCTTTTCGAGAACAATCGCACCCTTACGTCTGTCTTTGAGCTCCTCGCTCAGTTCCCCGGTGTCCCACACCTCATTTGTGCCGATTTTCAGGCGATCCCTGCCGAATATCCGGCAGTTGCTGCTGCGCTTGCGACCGGGCGGTGGTTGGACCCCTTGGACCAGGTTGATGAACAGGGGGCTTCAATTCGCCCCCCCACCTTTTGCCGGGACTCCGCCTGGCCTGCGGAAGCCCCTCTCACTAGCATTGACTCCGTCCTTCTGAACGACGTGGCGTGGAGGTCGCTCAGTGCGTGCCGTCTTGATGATTGTGCGGGCTTTCAGTTCCCCGGTGTCCCACACCTCATTTGTGCCGATTTTCAGGCGATCCCTGCCGAATATCCGGCAGTTGCTGAGTTTGCCTGGGATACGGAGATACCTGTGGCCCCGCGTTGGGAGCACCACGCTCTCTTGCACCTTCATGCCTTGCAGTCCTCGGAGGATAGGCACCGTATTGCCGATGATCTCTGGAATGCGACCTTTGCGTGCCGGTTGCAACCTTGTTCTACGCCCGACGAGCTGTTAACTCTTTTTCATGACTTTTCCACTGCTACCCTCACTGCCGCAGGTGCTACCTGGGGCCATGGGCCCCGGTCCCGGGGTACGCTCCCCCTCCTTGTGGCTTCCCCTGTTACCAAGAAAGCCTCTCGGGAGGCGGCCAGGGACGCTATGTGGGCCAAGCTCTTGCGCCTCGTTCGTGAGCTTGATCACCGGTTGCCTCGTTTTGCCACGGCTTCCCCGGGGGATGCTGCTGCCACTCGTTCTGTCCTGGCTAAGGCCCGTCGGCTTGCGCGTGAGCTCCGTCTTCGTGTGGGCCAGTGGCTTGCCGCCCCTGAGCTGCTCCCGAGCTTGCACAAGGCCCTCAGGGCCGCTTGGCACTTGGAGGTCGACCGCCGGAAGCAGGCTGCCATTCGTGCCTGGCGTTCCCGCATTGCTGGTAGTGTTGGTGGAAAGGGCAAGGAGATCTTCGCCCATTTGCGTGCCCAGGGCCCCATGCCCCGGTCCAATGTCATCACTGATCAGGACAATCGGCCTTTGCATTCTCCTGCCCGCGCCCTTTCCTTTGCGGCGGACCAGTGGAATGGCATTTTTGGGTGCCACGATCCTCCCCCCCCTGTTGACACGGCCTTGGCGCCGTTCCGCCCGCTCCTTGAGGCCCGTGCCAGCCCCTGCCGCATCCCTCACATCACTGCGGAGCATCTTGCGGCTACGTGCAAGCGTCGCAAGCCCTCGGCTGCCGCCGGGCTTGATGGCTGGACTACCCCTGAGCTCCAAGCTCTCCCCGTCCTGTGTTTTGAGCCCCTCGCTGAGCTCTTTCGCCGGGTTGAAAATGGCCAGTGCCAACTTCCGCGTATTTTGGCAACGGCGCGTCTCGCTGTCCTCAATAAGGGTGATTCGGATAAGCCGCTGTCCAAGCGGCTCATTGCGGTTCTCCCCGCCCCGTACATCTTGTGGAGTAGTACGCGGTTTGCGCACGGCGGAGTGGCAGCAGCGCGTTTTCCCGGCTGCCTTGTGTGGCGGCATCAAGGGCCGCCAGTCCCGGGACGTCACGCACACCTTGGCTCTCATTCATCACGAGTGTCACGCTACGCGCAATGGCATCCCCCAGGGATGCTCTCTCAGCATTTTGGCCATCAACGGCATTATGGCTGCGTGGTCACTCGTCGTGCAGCAGGTGCCGGGTGTGCGCCCCTTTGCTTTCATTGATGATACCTATTTGATTACGCAGGAGGCCTCGGAGCTTGAGCAGTTGCCGGTTGCCTTTCAGGTGTCTCAGCTTGCTGATGCGGTGCTGGGTCACATCTCCAACCCTGCCAAGTGTGGGTGGTGGGTCAGCGATGATCGCCACGCCCCTCCCTTGGCCCTCTCGTTTTGAGGGCATGCCTCGCCTCCAAGTCTTGCGCCCCCTCGGTGTCACTATCCACCTCAACCAGCGTGGTACTTCTTTCTGGCTTGAGGGACTCTGCGATTGACCGTTTCCGGGAGGCTATGCGTGCCATTGACACCCTTCCTGTCCCTCCTAAGGTCAAGGCCCGCTATGTCGCCTCTAAGGCCATCTCTGTCCTGGCTTACGCCCCGGAGCTCAACGTAGTCCCGGGGAGGGTGCTGGACACCCTTTGCGCTCGGGTTGCCAAAACTTTGTGGGGCAAACGATCCTGCCCATCTTGTCCATCCGACTTTTGCGCTGACCATCCGGGTCATCTCCAATGTGGTTGCTTCCGTGCAACAGGTCCCGGAGTTGTCTCTCTTATGGTCGTTGGCGTTCACCAATCCCCGCCGCCCTCGTGCTGCTCTCCCTGCCCATTTCGAGCATGCCTGTCGGGTCCTTGGTCTCGGGTTCCAGGCTTCTGATGCTCTGTCTGTCCTCCCGGGCTTGTCCTTTTCCCTCAGGCACACCCCTCGGCGGCTCCTTGTCCGGCTGCTCAGATGGGCGGCCCCCTTGCAGGCTTACCGCCTTGCATGTGCCTCGGATCGGAAGGACATTGTGTGTGGCCCCACCGGGGTCCTGGATATCCATGTGACGGCGATCCCTTGGCGCCTTCCTCCGCGCGACGCGTGGCGGGCCTTTGCTCGTGCCTTTCCTCTTGATCCTGTGGTTGCTGAGGCGGTCGTTACCGGGTCCGCCCTCACTGCGGACCGGCTTTTTCGTGCCGGGTTTGCGGACTCTCCTCAGTGTCGCTTTTGCAGCCGGACCCCAGTGTTGCCTCCTCCCTTGGACACCCGCCCCCCCTCCCGCCCGGACAGGGCCCGGCCTTTGCTACTCATGCCTTGGTCGAGCTCTCTCCTGCCCTGCTCGGATGGCTTGTGCATAGGAGTGCCCCTAGCCCACTGTGTCAGGTTCACCAAGCCGCTGTTCCGCGCCATGGCTTCATCGAACTCTGGACGGATGGCTCTGCCTTTGACTGCACCCATCCTCTCTGTGCGGTTACAGCCTATGCGGTTGTCGATGCCGACCGACGCACGCTTGCTGCTGGGGAGGTGCGTGGGGCTTTCGCCAACAACTATGTGGCGGAGATTACGGCGATTGTGATGGCCGTGCATGGTGCTGTTTCTTCAGTTTGTGTCCATACTGATTGCAACGCTGCAGTGCAGGTGTGGCAGTCCATGCGGATGTCTCGGACGGTCCCTTCGCATGCTGCGGCGGCTGGCTTGTGGACCCTTTTTTGGGAGATCGTGCACCACAAACAGGCTGCTTTTCCGGAGTTTTCGGTTGAGCTTCAATGGACGCCGGCGCACCAAGACTTGACCCAGCTTCGTGGGCGGGCTCTTCAGCATGCTTTGTGCAATGACGCAGCTGACCGGGCGGCCAAAGCGGTTGCCTCCAGTGTGCAGAGGGTCCCCATGCGCGAGCTGGACACTTTGTTCTATGCGACCTGGAGGAGGCAGCGGTGGCTTCAGCAGCTTTATAGGTTGCTGCCTGAGTGCAGCCCGTTCCATGCGGCCGAGGAGGTCGACCCGGGGCTTGGTCAGTGCGAACCCCCTGCGCGGGCGCCAGCTGCCCGCACGGTCCCGTCGGCGGTTCGGCTCCCCTGGGAGCCGCCTGGTTGGTGGCACTACGCTCCGAGGCAGTGGGCCGCGGTACGCGACTTCTTTGCGCAGGCTGAATGGCGGGTTGGTGACTCTGAGTCCATTGCATGAGCTCGTCATTTACATGAACCACCGCTTTCCGTTAGCGGTTCACACGCCGGGGCGTGTCACGGTTGTTGCGGCCCAGGTCAAGTGGGCCCGCAAGGCTCTTGGGGTGATCCGTGGGCGGTGCGGTGATACCTCGCCGGGAGTGTGGAAGCCGTCGCAGCAGCGGAGCTTCGGTGTGTGCTTTCCTAAAGGCATGTACGCCGGGGCCTCCCTTGTGGTGTCAGGCGGTGAGCGCGAGCTGCTTGCACAGGCTTTGGCTCGCGTCCATCGCAAGGGGCGGACGCCCCGCGATTGGGACTTTGCCCTTGGCTAACACGGCCAAGGTGTGTTTTGGCCTCGGCGCCGGCAGGCCCGGAGGTCGGCACTCGCTCGACGCGTGCGCCCGTGAGATAAACATCACCTTTTTGGCCCAAAGGTGAGTATCCCTTGGTGGGGGTGATGTTTTAAGGGGAAATATAGGGAGCCCTGTTCGAAGCTGTTGCAATTTGCTGGAGCCAATGACTCGGAGGCGTCCCACCTGGCCGGAATGTCAGTGGGCAAGCGCCATGAAAAGCACGGACATGTGTGGATGTCCCCTCTGCATTGCCGGAATAGAGGCCAAAAAGCAGGACCTCAGAGAATGCGGTACAAAAACGGAGGTCGCACCCTTGTCAGGCCTAAAAAGAGGTCGCACCCTTGTCAGTGGGTGGCTGCGCTTGGCGCTTGGCGCTTGCTTGGTTTTGTTTGGATGGTCGTTTGGTCGACTTTTGGCTTGTTTCTATCCCCCAGCCCTCAGACATCAAGGAACTCGCCGGGATCAGGTCAGCCGTGCAACTGGGGCGCTGGCTGTCAGCACAGTCTGAGGCAAGGGGGCGATGCGGACATGGCCCGGGGTTGGGATTCCCGAAGAAAGGAAACCACCAGTTGGATGTTTTTCCCCACCCGGCAGGAAGGGGTTGTTAGATTTTACGTTGGAATCCGCGTTTGCGATGCTTCTACACCACGCCCCCACCCAGTATCCCGCTAGAGCAGCTCGTCAGTGGATCCCGCCGAGTATCCCGCCAGACCGGCTTGCCAGTGGATCCCGCCGAGTATCCCGCCAGAGCGGCTCGCCAGTGGATCCCGCCGAGTATCCCGCCAGAGCGGCTCGCCAATGGATCCCGCCGAGTATCCCGCCAGAGCGGCTCGCCAGTGGATCCCGCCGAGTATCCCGCTGAGTATCCCAGAGTAGCTCGCCGGTGGATCCCGCCGAGTATCCCGCCAGAGTACCTCGCCAGTGGATCCCGCCGAGTATCCCACCAGAGCAGCCCCGCTGAGTATCCCACCAGAGCAGCCGCCAGTGGATCCCGCCGAGTATCCTGCTGAGTATCCTTTGCCGATGGATCCTGCCAAGTATCCGGCCAGTATCAAGCCGGAGCGGCTCGCCAGCATTCGTCAGTGGATCCCGCCGAGTATCCCACCAGAGCAGCCCCGCCGAGTATCCCACCAGAGCAGCCGCCAGTGGATCCCGCCGAGTATCCTGCTGAGTACCCTTTGCCGATGGATCCTGCCAAGTATCCGGCCAGTATCAAGCCGGAGCGGCTCGCCAGCATTCGTCAGTGGATCCCGCCAGTATCCCGCCAGAGCAGCTCGCCAGTCTGGTTTTGCTTAATGTCCCGCCCGGCGCACAGTTGGGTTTACATTTCATGTCGGTGCCTTCGTGTTTTGAGTGTACCCTGAGGCTCGGAAAGGGTGATGCTTTTGTGTTGCTTCGGGTTGTGAATAAGCAACTTCGTTTAATCCCCCGTCGGGTTTCTTTTTGGAAGGGGCTTGGCTTTTGTTAACGAAACCGATGTTTGAGTTATCGAGATCGGCCCGCAGAAAAGTGGAGTTTGACACAGAGACAGGTGGATAAGGAAGCTTGTTGAGCAGTCATAGGCCCCAAGCCACTCGAAAACCATGCATGAATTCACACAACCGTGTTCACGGTCGTAAGCTCGTGAGTGTGGAGGGTGGGGATTGCTCGAAGCGAAGTAATTTTTGGGGTCATTCCATTTCTCAGTCCCTGTGAGCACCAGAAAGTTGTGTGAAGCAACGGTTGTTGGTTTGGAATAGCACCTTAGAAAGACGCACTTTACCCAGCAGGTTTATTTATCGTCTTGAGTCACTGACTGGGTGCAGAACGAAACATGTCGTAGTATCGGGCAGAATCATCAGTAGTTTATGGTAGTCGGGCCGCCTCGGGGTTAGCAAAATGAGCAACAGCCACGAAATCAAGAGGGGACTGCCCAACAACTGATACCTCCAACCTCAAAACGCCGAAAACTGATCGGGACACCCAACTGTTTGTTTATGGCAGGATTTCGTCACGTCGTGTTTTTTGGGCTCTGTTCATTTTTAGGGGGCCCCATATCAAGGGTTGATTGTTTTTAGATTTGGTCCGCTACTATGGCTGTGGCATGGCACCAGAAGGCAAATAGAACCAAAGACTAAAACCCCGGGGTTGGCCCCAGCTCTTTGGACGCCGCTCGCCAGTCCTCGCAGAGCTTTCGGGACCTCCTGGCGGCCTTGCCTCACCTGGGCCCTGCACCCGCGGAGGCAGGGAAGCACGGGGGATGGCCGCCTCCTTTCTCAGCACCACCCGCTGGTGCCATTTTTTCCTTTTTGGGGTAAGGGTTCCCCTTAAAACTCAGCCAACAAAAAAAGGATGCCCCTTTCTTTGCTTCTTGTTCCACTTTGTTTTTGGGTAAGGGTTCCGATTCCTTTTTTTCCCCATGGAAATCCACTGGGCATTTGAGCTTTGACTGGGGCCAGGCGGCGGAATGCTTCGTTTGGGCCATTTTGTGCTTGGGATGCCATGTTCCATGACTTGTTTGGGCCTTTTGGAGAATCCGAACGTTCGCATTGAGTTCTTCCGCTGAGACTCGATCTGTTGAACAAACCTGCGGGTCAACGCGATTTCCAAATGGTTGTCGTTTGTGTGGATTTGCAGGCCAGGGCCGCAAGCAAAGCAGTGCTTGACCCTTGTCAAACTTGAGTCTCAAGAGCCACGGAACCAACAAATATTTGCAGCCCTGCCACAAGCGCAATGCTTGACCCCTGTCAAAATTAATCAGAGAGTCCCACGAGAGTCTTTGAAGCCAGCCTGAAGCGGTTATCTTCACAAATTTCGGGCCATCCCATTCTATTTGGAGGCGCCAAACATCGTTTACGTGACGATGATCTACGGCAAAAACTTCAATAGGCGGGCTGGGTGTGTGTGTGTGTGTGTGTGTGTGTGAGACAGGTTGCTATGCAAATACCTCACAAATAGCTGGCGTAAACATATCCTTCGTTTTACCTTCACTGTTGTTCGCAGGTTGCTAGGTTTTCGTATGTGTTTGTTCTGTTCATTTTTAGGGGGGCTGCACAAAACATCACAACACAACGAGCTTTTTGCTACCATACCAAGTTGGAAAGGAACGTTCTCTAAAGGCCCCCCAAGTTGCCACAGGGGGTTTTCCTCTCATGTCTGTATCGTTACATGCCAACAGGTCCTAGCTGCTCGAAAAGTTCGAGCCCTTGTGTGGGATTAAGGAATCTTGGCCTTCATCCATGCAACACTCGCCAAACAAAGTGGGGCCATGGAGCTATGGAACAAAACCTGAACCTTCCTCGTACATTGAGTGTTTTTAAGTCGGTGCCCTTTAGCGTGTCAAGAAAGGAAACCAAATGGAAACCGACCGCACTCTCTCATTTTCTTTGGCGGGGGGGCAGCATTCGCTTCAGATTTGCACTTGAGGGGAGCCGTCATTTTCTGGACATCAGTGTCACTATTTCGGTGCAGTGCCTGGTGTTTTGTCACGGGTGTCAGACGTAGTTTGCGGGGTAAAAATGTCACGAACACCTAGAACATCTTAGAAACATTCGCCTAGCCTGGCTTGGCCCCACTCAGGGAGCACTAGGTTGCACTCGGAGGTTTCCGGAGCCGCATAGCACTGGACAACTTCAAGGGTTGGTTGGGTTGGTTGTTGCTTGCTTGCTTGCTTGCTTGCTCGCTTGCTTGCTTGCTTGCTTGGATTGCTTGCTAGCTTGCTTGCCTGGTTGGTTGGCTGGCTGGCTGGCTGGTTGGCTCGTTGGTGTCTTCTGCTAACGGCCAGGCACCTTGGGAGGTTTTGCGCCCGCGCGCGTGCGCTGGGCACACCTGGCCAGAGGCTGCTGCTCTTCACGCCGCTGGGATTCGCGAGGGATCGGCCGAGGATCGGAACACGAGCGAACGCCATGGGAAAGATCCTTGACTTGGGGGATCTCTTATTGAAATCGCTAAGCGACCCCGCCGACGCCAGAGGGGTGCAAGGGATTTTAAGACCTTTTTCACTTTTTCCAAGGAACATGCAAGGGATGCGACCACACAACGTACAGGAACAGACCCAATCTTCGCATGCAAAATTTGAAGACTTTCAGACACGCAAAATTGACCAAACACAGAAAATACGAGAGATGCCGGGAATGCTGGGAATGCAGCCGGCTGGCCACAAAAAAGTCAAAAAAAAAAACAGGATTTGTTGATATTTCTCAAAATCAACCATCAAAAGAAGATACTAGCAACCCCCCGCAAATACCCTCAAAATATACTTCCAAAAACACTGGAAAATTACAGGGTTTTGGACACCCAGCACGCCATGCCCAAAACATGGCAGCCCCAAAAGCCTTCGGCTTTGATAAGAGATCCGAAACTACACGCTCGACTGCCCCCTATTAATAAACTGGTGTGGGTTAGTATGGGCTTAACTGTCTATGTTTGCTTCTGATGGGTGGCAACAGGGACACCTGAAAGCATGGTGTTGTGGCGAAGTTTGTGCTGCTTCATTTGTTTCACTCCTCAACTCAATCCCGTTCGTTTTCAAATGCATCATGCGTTGAAGCATTATTTGGCTGGCGTTGGTTTCTTTCCAACCGCAAGGGTTTCACCTTCTAGAATCGGTGCGAAATTAAAAGAGTACCAAGCGATTACCAAAACAGAACCAACCGGGGTTTTTAGTTCTTCTGTGGTATATGGGTATGCGTGGTGTATGTGGGTATATGTGGTGTATGTGGTACAATATATGGGAATATGTGGTATGGTATATGGGTATATGTGGTATATGTGGGTATATGTGGTATATCTGGTATGGTATATGGGAACATGTGGTAAGGTATATTGGTATATGTGGGTATATATGGGTATATGGGTATATGTGTTTTTCGTTTTTCTTTGTTTTTGTTTATATATATATATATGTGTGTGTGTGTGTGTGTTAAAAGTGGTATAGTGTTTTTTCCTGTGAGATTTTCTTCGGGGGTAGAGGCGAGCTCCACGCAGCGAACTACTTCGCTTCGAGCAATCCCCACCCTCCACACTCACGAGCTTACGACCGTGAACACGGTTGTGTAAATTCAAGCATGGTTTTCGAGTGGCTTGGGGCCTATGACTGCTCAACAAGCTTTGCATTGAGAGCCTTATCCACCTGTCTCTGTGTCAAACCCCACTTGTCTGCGAGCCGATCTCGAGAACTCAAACATCGGCTCCGTTAACAAAAGCCAAGCCCATTCCAAAAAGAAGCCCGACGGGGGACTAAACTAAGTTGCTTATTCACAACCCAAAGCAACACAAAAGCATCACCCTTTCCGAGCCTCAGGGCACACTCAAAACACGAAGGTGCCAACATGAAAAGTAAACCCAACTGTGCGCCGGGCGGGACATTAAGCAAAACCAGACTGGCGAGCTGCTCTGGCGGGCACTGGCAGGATCTACTGGCGAATACTGGCGAACCGCTCCGGCTCGATACTGGCCGGATACTCGGCAGGATCCACCAGCAAGGGATACTCAGCGGGATACTCGGCGGGATTTACTGGCGGGCTGCTCTGGTGGGATACTCTGCCGGGATACTCAGCGGGATCCACTGGCGAGCTACTCTGGGATACTCAGCGGAATACTTGGCGGGATTAATTGAGGCGGGATCCACTGGCGAGCTACTCTGGGATACTCAGCGGGATACTCGGCGGGATCCACTGGTGAGCCGCTCTGGCGGGATACTCGGCAGGATCCACTGGCGAGCCGCTCTGGCGGGATATTCGGCGGGATCCACTGGCGAGCCGCTCTGGCGGGATACTCGGCGGGATCCACTGGCGAGCAGCTCTGGCGGGATACTGGGCGGGATCCACTGGCGAGCAGCTCTGGCGGCATACTCGGCGAGATCCACTGGCGAGCTGCTCTGGCGGGATACTCGGCGGGATCCACTGGCGAGCTGCTCTGGCGGGATACTGGGTGGGGGCGTGGTGTAGAAGCATCGCAAACGCGGATTCCAACATAAAATCTAACAACCCCTTCCTGTCGGGTGGGGAGCGAGAGATCCGTGGCCCCAAGGCTCGACGAGGACGCCTTTCGGCTGTTTGGGCCTCAAGGCCTCAAGCGGAAGCGCGGGACGCGGGGCGCGGCTGGCGCGGGGCAGTTCGGTGTCTCCTTTCCCGGACGTGCGGCCTCCTGAGTTTTGTTTGAATATCTGTTTGGTGGGTGAAATGTGGCAGGGCTTAAGTTTTTTGGGTTTAATTTGATCTTTTGAGTTGGTGAAAGGTGGCTGGGTTTGGGTTTGAGTTGTTTGATCTTTTGAGTTGGTGAAATGTGGTTGGGTTTCCGAATTTCAGACATGTCCTGGAGCTCGCGCGATGCCCAGGTGTTTGGTGGAGAACGCTGGGCGATGTATCCGAGGACGGGTGCCGAACGACGCATGTGGCGCGAATGGACCGTGGCTCTGGAACATCTAAACACGTCCGGTTGAAACCAGGGCGGACAACCACGCGCCAACCGCTTAAATTGAAGCCTGCATGTAAATTGTCCTTAGAGCCAGCGCTTTTAAGCAGGATGCATTGCAATTCGTCCCTAGAGCCGACTTGTTTGGTCTTGTTTCAGGGCACATGGAAGGCCAGAGCACTCCGTCGCCCGAGCGGCCCGCTCGAAGCGAGCCAATGCAGTTTCAATCACGGGCAGTACCCCAAGCATAGGTGTCGTTTTTGGGTTGTAGAAAATCTATGGCGATTCCTGGTTGGCCTGTTTCAGAATCGACCGGGCCATTGATTTTCCTCAAAGGGCTCCTACGACCCCAAGCCAAAACTCAGCAGACTAAATTGCATCGCCGGAGCCGCCCGGAAAAAAGAGAAGGGCCAAATTGTTTGGGAGCATTCAGACCCTTGCTTTGCAAGCTCACCTCAAAAAAGACTCAGACAAGAGCATCGTTTGATATCCAGGCACTTGGTATTGTAGAGCGCCCCTTTTCGGCGGTTTCCCCCTCCGATCGCATCTTGACGATACACTTCTCACGCGGAATGCGGTGAGGCACTCCATCGATTGTCAACAAGTTCACGCTGCCTTTGCTGTGCGCGAGGTTGGGCTTGGACTCGGTGTCAGGCCGGCATGCTTTTGCTCGAGTTTTTGGCGAACCGTTCCCGAGCTCAGAGGTGTACCTGGAGCTCGTGGGAAGTCGAGGAAAGAAGACTTGCATAGGTCGAGGGGGAAGGCCTACACGAAATGCAGATGGTTTGCAGTTCAGGCGAGAAAACGCCGGACGACCGTGGGTTTTTTGTATACATTTGGAACCGAACAGATGCTGAAGGCTTTTGGCTTAGTCTTTGATAAGGATTCTTCAACCCCCCATGGTTCCCAGCATTTGGTCCCATAGCTTTTTACTTGCTTTTCGTTGGTTTAGTGGTGGTTTCCATTTAACCCACGAATTATTCACTATTCGCAGGGGATCAGAACACGGACAGCCCGGCTATGCGTTTCGACTCCAAGAGCACAGCTGCAGACACCGGCCTTTGGGAAGCAACCCCCCCCGTGCCCGACCTCTCACCCCTTTTTTGGTTGGGAGATTCGGTTCCCCGACTAAAATCGACTGCAGAAAAAAGGGCGACCAACTTATTCTAACTTCTCTACTGGACCTAGGCAGTCTGGCAATCAAAATTTATCACATTGGACAAACCCAGGTTTTGGCTCAAGCCCAGGCTTGAGCCCAAGCTTGGCGGGCCGAGAGCCTTCAGCCCGACAAGGAGTCGGAGGAATGCGGACAGCCATTCCAGATCCAAGATCGCCTCGGCCCCCGCCAACACACGACCTGGGCAGATGTAGGCCATGGTGGTTGCATCAAGTTTTGAAACACCTGCAGCTATGGCACGTACAAACAATCAACATACTATAGACAAAATCCGAAACCGCTCCACTTTGAAGCCATGGTTGAAAACATAACGTTTGTTGGTATTTGCAGGGAATCCTCACCCCAGGGTTTCTTAGGCGGTGCGAAATGGATTTCGTCCATCAGTATGACCCCAAGGCGGTACCTCTTGTGCCAGGTGGATTGACCTGGACGTTTTCCTCATGGCCGATCCCACTCCGGCGATCGTCGCCCACGCGGAGCGCAGTCCTTATGTGTTGGTGTGCTGAAGGGGGCAAACATCTATCTATGTCCAAACCTCTTATGAGCCACAAACAAAACCCTGGGAGATGAAGGTTAGCAAGGGACAATCCCAACCGTAAATAGCTTCGGCCGCCTTCTTGGTTCTTTACATGGTTCTGGGTGCACATTTGTGTACCGGGTGTTGATTATGACTCTTAAGGACCCGGACGGGCAATTGGCAACTGGCCTCTGGATTGGCAACAATGCGGTTCGACTTGCTCCATGTCTGAACAGGGGGACTCTTCAGCTTTTCCATCATCTGGCAGTACCGAAAGGTGAACATGGCAAGATCGCATGCCCTTTCGGTACCGAGTTTGTAAATGAGCTTGTGTTGCATCTTGCAGCATCCCTTTTTCACCCGGTACGTTGGGAGCTTGGACTGCGAGTTCAATGGGAACACCTTTAGAGCCTGCTGAACCCAACGCCAAAACACAACTGTTTATATATATATATATTATGGCAATTGCTCTAGTTTGGGCTTGTTTTTTTCACAACAAGTTGGACACTTCCAAATCTGCTTTGTTTGTTTTTTTTTTGGGGGGGGGGGCATGTCGGTGGCCATTTGGGGTTTGTGTACGTTCAGAACGACGTTGGACCCCGAAATCCAGCAGATCGGAGGCGCGGGCCTTACGACTTGCTGGTCTCGGGCTCCTTTGAGGCGCATGACATCTTGGCTCGAGCTGCTAGGTTTCTATTTGGATGGGGGGTTGGATGGAGTTGGCGAGGGGGGGGGGGGAGGGTGGGGGCGGGTTGGGGGGGAGTTGCGGGGGGAGTTGGGGGGGAGTTGGGGGGGGGGGTGGAGGGTCTTTTGGCGGGAGAGGCCGAACCTTCCCTGAAACTGTAGGTGGGATTTTCCACATTGGAAGGACTGTTTTCCTTTAAGGACCCTTTGTGGGTTCCGTGGGCAGGAGGGCATGTGTGTGCCTATAGGGCCTACAGGGCCTCAATCTCCCGATGGCAATTTTGGTAGCAGAAGGTGTTTTTGTTTTTGCGAGATGTTTATGGACATAGCAACCTTTTTCCAAATACCAACTAAAGCAAGTGGGAGTTTATGTTGGAGGGTACCCTTGCGGTACCCCCCTGTGCTTGCCGCTGTAACAAGCCATTTCGGCGCCATGCTTAGTCCCTTGCCTGACTCATCCCAACCCGAACCCCTTCCTAGATCAAGGCTAAACGCACCCCTGGCCTACCCTCAAACGCGTCCATACACGCACACCACAACCAATTCCTGCTGACCTTCCACCCAACCAACACCAAACCTCCAAATTCAACCTAAGTGCAATTCAAGAAAAAAACCCACCCTAGAGCATGGCCAATGGACCAACCCCAAAGCCATCCTGCCCCTATTCAAAGCCCTTGCTGGAACTGAGCCTCAGCCCATCCTTTGCTTACCCAGCCCCAAACCAACCCAGCCAATCCAATTCAAAACCAGCCGTGACCAACCCTAAACCAAGCCTATCTCCAACCCAAGCTAAAATGGGAAAAAAAAAACAACTCAAACACAACCTGCCTTCATGCAAGCCCACTCTGACCCCAATCAACCCAAATGCCTTGCCACCGCCATAGCCTCCACGCTAAACCTGTGGATTGATTTGGGTTGGCAAGCGCCAGCCACCAGCTTCAGGTTGAACCCCCCGGACACCTTGCCGCGATGCGAACACCTCGCTGCCCAAAGTTTTCCACTTTTCGGACGATGTCAAGATCGACTCAAGCCCAGGGGTTGTTCCTTTTTTAGGGGGTAATGGACCACCCCTGCTTGATGAATAGCACTCTCTATAGTGGACACTGTTTTTTCTCATTCAGAATTCACTAAAGAGACTCCAGCTGACTGTTTCCACTGTTCTGTCAGGGGGGGGTCACACAGTCTGCCCTGACGTAGTCACAAAGTGGAACCCTGTCGTTGCCTGCCGCCAAGCTGCGCGAGTTGCCGGCCGGCAGCGTTGGCTCGCGCAGGCGGACTGCATCTGCAACGGCATCGTCCGCGCCTTGGGCGTCCTCGGGTCCACGGCTTTCTTTGGGCGAGGGCTCGTTCCAGCCCGAAGCACGGCTCGGTCATCCATCCCTGCCATGGCGGGGGCGTATTTCTGTAGCAAGTGCCAGGGGGTGGTACGCTACCGGCTTCTTCCTTCCTTTGAGTTACGGGGATGATCTTCGTAGTTATCTTTGCACTGGAATTTGCACCTGCCCAAGCATGACATGAAACCAAAGCAGCAGTTTCCCCAAAAGGAGATTCCTCTAACACGTTGGGTTCAATGCAAATTCCAGGAGAGTGGCTTGCCTTAGCTTGAACTCTGAAAGGAGTTTTTCGCCGACCAGCTTGGGTCATTGATCCAAGCATGGCTCCTTGTGTCGCAAGACACTCTGAATTGCAACATGGAATGCAGAGAAGGGAGGAGCTCCCCATGTACAGAAGCCCAGGTTAGCCTATATTTAATTTAAGAAGAATCTTATACAAGAGCAATCGCGTTGCGGATTCAGGTGTCGGCACTCTTGGCGGAAGGCCTGTCTCTCTTGCCATGCCATGCACAGCCTGTATCCCAACAGTTTGACCTGTGCAAGTCTGTGCCATCGCGAGGGCAATTGGTCAGAGAGGCTGTCGCTCCAAAGGTCTACTTCCGCTCGACGGAGGCTGTCGCAGATTGGCTTTTGGCCGTTATCGCGCGGGTGCCCGGACAGTGCAAGCAGTTGTGACGACCGCATCCTGGGAATCTCGGAGGCTCCCAGCCGTTACAGCAGAAGGGTCGTTACAGCAACTCCCTTGAAGGGACCTTCCGGGTGTTGGGAATGAACCCAGAGATTCCCTGAACTTAAACTTGGTGGCTCCCAGCCATCCCCTGAGCTTTTCAGATCCTTTTAGTGTTTAGGGGAGTAATTTCCATTTAACCCGCTACAAGTTAGTCACTTTCAGCGGGGGATCTGAGGGCAGCCCAGATCTGTTGCATGGCTCAAAAAGCGAGCCGCGGGCGAATGCAGCTTGCCGCCAAAGACTTGAAGCAAAAAGAGGCCTATGGGAGGGTCAAACATGGGTACCCAAAATTCAACCTGGTAAATGGCAACATGAACTACAATCTGCGGTTTTCTGGTTGCTGAAGTTTGACCCCCGGCCATGTCATTCTTTTGTATCCCCCATTAGGCGCAACCATGGAAATGGATGGATGGGTTTCCTGATTTTCTTTCGCTGCAGATCAATCCCGATGCCAAACGGGTACCAGCTCAAGCAAACACACCGTTTCTTCTTGTGCTGGTTTTCAGCTACTGTCGGTGCATCATCTTACCTCTTAAAAACACAACTTTTCAACTTTTTGGGTAACATGGGCTATATGTCTGTAAAAGATTAACTTCCCCAGGGCTTGGAGTTTTAAGGGGTAAGTCATACGTCCGTTTGGGTCTGTAAGGCAGGACCTTGGAATACCTAGGATGGAACATTGTTTGACCAATCGCATGCGTCATGTTCCAGGTCCATACTTCCACGCTTCCTGCTCGCAACTACTCATGCAGCAGTGGTGAGGCCTTGGTTTTGTGAGCTGCAATCACGGGACCGCGACGTAAGGCTCCCTTGCACAGGTGTCCTTTTTGGTTGTTTGGGTAGGAAAATCGATGGCCCTGGTTTAATCATCTAACCCCTTTGCGGCATTGTGCTTGGATGTTAGGACTTTAACATTTTGCCAACTAATGGGTTTTCCACAAAAACCACTAAAAGTTAAACTTTTAGCAGGGAGCAGAAAGCAACCGAGGGGCCATCTATTTCCCCTAAAAGGACACCTGCGGACTCCGACCAGTTGACGGCCTCGGTCCTTGATGGCTGAGGTTTGGATGTACCATCACCCCTACGAGCACGATCAGAAGCGGGGCCCTCGGATTCTCTTGAAGCATCCAGTATTCTTCCATTTGCTGAAATGAATATATTTGTTGCATTTGAAAATAGTTGCTCTCTTTTTTCCAGGGGACGCATCAGCAAATGTAGGCATCCAAAGGCACTCTGGTAAACATGCTTGGCAACCTCAAGGTAGCCTTTGCCGGATGTGCAAAGTCGGGATACCGTACGGTATGGAGTATACGTTTCGTCAAGTTTTATAGCGAAGACATTGCCATAGGGGTCAAGGTCGACCTGTGCATATCCAACAGCCAATAGGGGGCGCGTGGATTCTTGTGGCGTCTGAAGCGCTCATCGGTCACTCATAAGCCATGGGTTGCGCTTCGTCGGACGGCGCGAGAACCCCCCCGAAAGCCCCCCCGGCTGGGTGTCGGAAATGCACCTCAGTTGTTCAAAGCCTTTTGACCTTTTGGTTTTCCCTTTTTGGTCTATTTTTAGTAGAGGTCCCAAAAGGTTAACCTTTTATAAACAGGTCCTTTGGGCAACTGAGGCACAGGTCGACCTTGGCCCAGTCACGTTCACTGAGGACCTTTAGCGCCTTTCTGAACTACACCGAGCGGGTAACCAAGGACTGGGTCCAATCACTTTAGGGGCAAGCCTCAAGGCTCGATACTTGCACTTTGACAGGCTTCCGACGCCGAGTTCGCCATGTGCAAAACCCCATGGACTTTTGACTTGTCTTAACCAAAGCTTGGCTTGGACTTCGCCCAGTCGGCCAAAGCTCCATGGACGGTTTCAGCCAACAGTTGGGTTGGGACCCCGCAGTGAAGTGGAGGCCTTGGGGCCCCTGAGCCAAGGAGCCCCTGGACCTTCCCAAGATCCCCGCCTGGGCCGGAACCTCAGGGCTAGAGGAAGCCTTCTGAACTTCTGACGCATATGGGGGGCCGAACTTCTGACGCATGACCTATGGGCCAACAAAAAAAATGGATCCCCTGCAATCATGGAAGCCGAAGGGAGTCTTGGAAGCTGACTTTGCTTGAAAAAGCCCCCGGGCCCCTCTCCACTAAACCATGTTTGTTGGAAAAGTATGGATAAATTGATTCGCGGAAGAAAACATGGTCCCTGTCCCGCTGGGTTTAGACGGAGACGAAGGAAGAAGAGATCAAGCGAGCAAAGTGAGGCATACAGAGGGGCCCATAAAGACTGACCTGAGTACAGAAAGGGAGAGGCAGAGCTGTCAAGAAAGAAATATGCGTCGCATATGTACATGCGGGTGTGGCTCAAAATTAAACAGGAGGGGCAAACCGCAGGTTTTGGTCCATGTTTCCACTTGCCAGGGTTCCATTTTGGGTACCACAGCCATGTTTGGTTTGTTCACTAAAGGCATGTGCAAACATCATAGGCACTGAGGCAAACATCGTGACCATACACACACATGACAGGCACGCACACGCACACACGAACAGACACCAGACAAGCAGTCTAAGCAACAATCGCTAAGACCGAGTGAGAAAGCATTTCTTCCCAACAGACGGGAAGATGGAACGAGCAATCACACGCAAACAAACAGACAGACAGACAGACAAAAGGACAGGTCAACTAGCAAGAACATGTTCAATCCTGCACTGGTGAGGACACACTGGATCCCATCAACCAGTTCGTGACGCCAGACACCTTCGAGGGAAACGGCTGGCACGGGGGCCAAGGAAATTCGACTTGACCCAAGCTTGTTGCACGATCTCTTGCTTTTCTCACCCAGCCAGTGGGCGCACCTCACACTTTTTTCCTTGGTGACTCTCCCTTTATTTGAGTGGTGGCCCAAAAAGTGTGCACTTTTTTTTGGCTAGTCACTGGCCAAGTGAGTTTTAGTCAAGGCTCGTTAAAGTCAGAATGCTGTCCAACCAGCACACTCAGCGGGTCAGTATGTTCAGCCTTTTCACTTAGTTGTTGAATTTGTTGGCGTGCTGGGTGGGTGCCGGCATAGGATTTGGTAGACCGCTGAGAGACGCCCACTGAGTAGTTGCCCAATTCTGGAAACCTATGCTGGAAACGTGTTTCTGTTATTTTCCGGGATGTCCGCAGCACCGCAAGCGCCCTACCCTTGGAAGCACGCGGTCGCAACCTGGCAGCGACCCATTTTCAGGGACTCCCCAAAGCCTTTTGACCCTTTTGACCTTGTTGGTTTCAGCAGGGCCTTGTCTATGTCCACCCGTGGCCCAGAAAAGGTGTATATATAGTATTTATATACATATATACATACACATATATATATATATGGGGGTTGATCAAAAGGTCCTTGCAAGGAGCTATGTATTCGGTGACCGTTCGTCTTGGCTTAAATCCCTCCGCGAAAGATCGGCGATGGAGTTCGCGAAAGAAACTTATTTTTTCGCGAAAGATTCCGCGTTGGATTTTTGGAGGCATGCCTGTGCACTTACATATTTGTAGACCCCGCTCCCTTGTAGAGGGAGATACGCAGCACCTACACTTGCATTATTGATTCCCTGCCTGTGTTGGGAATTGCGCAAATCAATAACGTTGGCTGGGCTATTTTGGAGCAAGTTTCGCGAAAGATCCGCGAAAGACCGGCGAAAGGCCAGGGAGCTTGTTGCAAGGTTCCGCACATCGCCGGCAAGCGCAAGTGGCAAATGCGAATGACGGTGACTGCTTGCACTTAACACTACGTACTGCACGCAGGTGAGCTGCCGCTATCCTGTGTGCAAGCATAACTGCAGCAGCCACAATGGCTCCAGAGCGCACGCTGCAAACAAAAGGGCAAACAAAAGGGCTTGGCGATGGAGTCGCGAAATTTCTCGCGAAGATGGCGTTTTCCGGAAACAGGAATATTGATCACCTGCCATATATATCCATATGTATATATATGTATACATCGATATTTGTGTGTATATATATATATATATTGTAATATAGACTTGGTTTGGGAGGGCCACCTTAGAAGATGAGGCCGGTTGCGGCCCCTTGGCAACTTTGGGCGCATGGGTATCGGCAACTGTTTGACTTGAGATGCCTATGAGCTCCGCACCGCCCTCAATCGTGGTACTCCAGATCGGTTCGTGGGGAAATCGGGGGGAGACATCCTTATCTTCACGGTTATTGCCATGTTTTTTGTTTTGTTTTTCTCGTAATGTCTTCCTCTTTTTTGCTTGGTCTTCTTTATCTTCACTGTCATTTCTCGTAGCTGCACAAATGCAAAGTGGTTTGCCACCAGGTCCAGCAATTGGTTTCGGCTGCCTGTCTCAGGATGGGGGACCTCGAGAAGATCCTGATCTACCACTTCCTGAACGGCGCCTGGCTTGGCGATTTCCCGAAGGCCATCCGGTTCTAAAGGCTGTTTAGATCCCTTTTAGCTGGTTTAGCGCTGGGATTTGTTTAGATCCTTTTAGCTGGTTGAGTGCTGGGATTTCCGAGTTTGAGCCACCAAAAGTTACTCACTTTTAACTTTTAGGGGAATCTGAGGGCCCAGTTCAGTATCGGGATCCATTCGTCGATTTTCTTTGCTCGTACTATCCCTGCGGTTCTTGGGCTTTTTTGTGTGGCATCGGTGCCTGTCGCCAGTTGCACACAGCAATTGGCCAGGGTCATGCCAGGGTCATGCTATGCTTGACCCAAATGGCCGTGGGTCACAAATAGGTACCTAAAATGGAACCCTTGTAAATGGAGACATGGACTTTAGGGGTCTATTTTTGACCCATACCCGAATTGCCTGACTGGCTGAGTGTTGACCCAAAGTTGTTCAAAGTTGCTCGATCCAGACGTCCGGAATAGAGACGATCCAGAACAGGGTCGGTTCAGACAGTCCGGAACAGAGGGTTTGACAGTTTGAGCCGTGGGCCGATCCAGACGCCTTTTCTGGCCGTAGGCAAGGATGTTGAGGTATTATACACAAATATATATATATATATATATATATATGTATTGATACATTTGTGTATATATTCATATATTTTTGCATATCTCTGCCCCCCACCCCCATCAAAGCCACTGAGCCTCTCTAGCCGCCTTTTTGGTTGCGGCTTCGAGGGCGAAAGCCCCAGCTAGGTGCCCTTTCTCACCCCCTTTTTGGTTGGGAGTTCCCCTACAAAAAAATAGACTACCGAAAAAAGGGCACCCTTTTTCGAACTACTGGAGGACCTAGAAGATAAAAAACGGTCGCGAAACCACTACATACGACTATATGAAGTGTATTTTCGTGCATGTGGCATGTGACTGCATGTGCAGCAGCCGGTTTGTTCGGAGCGCGCATGGCATACGATCGCAGGCAGCTGCAGAGGAACCATTTTTTAAATCAAAGTGAGCTGCTTGATTGCAAGATTGCCAGCCCCCCCTTTTCAGAGAAAAAAAAGACATCAGCACATTCTTTGCCCCAGCAGGCTAGCACTGCACGCCTTTCCTCAGCTGAACAAAGTCGCTCAGCGCGCTTCCGAGCGCTTGCCCGGCTTGCGCTCGGCCTATGGCGCTGGCGAAATGCCGGCCCTACCTTCAGCGGGCGGAGGAGCTGTCGACTGCTGTTGGGCGACGGATCTTTAGACTTTTTCACTTTTTGGTTGAAATCGTTGGGTTCTCCGAACTAAACCCACAAAAACCACTCAACCCCCAAACCCACAAAAATCCACAAACCCACAAACCCCAACAGTTTTTTCCACTCAACCCACAAAAAGTGAAGCTCGCTTTTTGCTGAGGGGTTGTTGCATCAAAGGAGCTGTCGTCTCATGAGCCGGTGGTGGCGTACTACTGCCGGTTGCACGCCATCGAGCCGCTCAGCGGGCTTAAGCTGCAGCTGAGAGAGCTGAGAGCCGTCTGAGCCAAGCCAGGTTTGCAGCCACTCCATTTTTCCCATTTTGGTCCTGCCATCTGGTGCCGGTTGTGTTTGTTTCCACGTGTTTGTTTGTTTTTTTGGGCGGGGGGGCTGTTTGCCACCTGTTGTCTTCGAACATTTGCGGCCATTTCCTTCAAAAAGGAATCCTTCACTACAAGTACTACAAGCTCGATCATTTTTTTAAACCTAGGTGGCAAAAAGACCCGAGCCAAGCTACCCGTAGTTGCAGGCTGGTGGGTCCCAGCCCTGTTCCCCCAGGTTTTTTGGATTTTAAGGTGGTTTATTGGTTTGGTTTCGGAATTTTGGCCACTAAAAGTTATTCACTTTTCGCCCGAGATCTAAAGACAGCGCAGCAACCCCATGGTTCTCCGCGAAACTCTGGGCTTCTTGACGGCGAAGTCCCTGGTTGATCGATTGACACAGGGAGAAGGGTAAGCCACGCCCACAAGGGCTTGAGGATCCTTGGTTCCATCCTGAACTTTCAGTTGCCGTGTGATCTCTTGCAGCATGAGTCTTGTCGAATGAGCTTGTCTTGCAATTGGGGTTTGCAACTTGGTGTTTTATGTTCTCTCTGACATCTCCCAGAAAGGGAGCGGTATGCCACCGGGACTGCTGCGCAGATCATGTTATCATAGTTTTTTGCAACAGGTTGAAGCTCAATCAACCAGTTGGGATTCAACCAGAATTTGAATAGAAATTATCAAGGAAAGGCAAGATGGTTGTTTCTTCTAGTTTGCCTGCCCCTTAAACGGAGTGATCAAACCAGTCGAAACCAAAGGAAAACACAATTGCAGTCCAGTTTGCAAGGGTTGCAAGCTTTACATTGCAAGGCTTTACGTTTACGTAGGATTTTGGTTTAAATTATCATTTTGGATTATATTTTAAATTGGAAGTATTTTCCTGGTGGGATTTCAATTTGAGTGTGGTTAGCATTCTCAATTTAGTTGGGTTCATACTTGGCGCTCCAGTCGATTTCAAGTAGAGTTTACTTAGGACTGTTATTTGCAGTAGATGTCAAACAGGAACCCATTTCCATTCCCAGGATTAGGGTTTCACTTACAATTCAACAAAACGTTAATTGAAATTCAAATAGAACCTGGTAATTAATTTGATTAGACATCTTGTTAGGAACGATATTCAAATAGTATTTCCATCAGGTTTTGTTTAGAATTTATTTAGAATTCAGAATCTAGTACCCGAGCAAAGACAAGTTGTTTGTTTTTAATGAGTTGACCTAGAATCCTTAACTTAAATAATTAGATGTTGAAGAAGCATTCCTTTCCAGGCATGAGTTTAAGTAGAATTTGGTTGGAATACCACACAAGACCAGGCCAGCCATTTCTCCTCAGGGAATGTGTTTGCTTCTTTTTTTTACTGTTGCTTGTGTGCTCTTTGCCATGGGGCCCGTGGTGGGGACCCCCCCCCCCCTAAGGTAGGGGGGACTTACGGAATCTTGGACGATTCCGAGGCTCATGATGCGCGCGCGCAAGCAGGGCGACAGCAGTGCCGAGCTGCAGAACTTGTTGTTGGGCGCCGTGGCAGCAGGGGACCACAAGAGCGAGCGAGTTCATATGGCTGTGGTTTTGACAGTTTTGGGATCCCATTCTGGTTGGTAGGTGCATTCACCACCCATTTTAGAACCTATTTTAGTGGTTGGATGGGGATGTTCACTGGGGGTACGTTTAACATTCAAACGCGGTATTTCGGCACAGTGGCTCCAAGCCCCATTACATGCGGCCGATGTTTCCTTCTCGAAGATGTTGATTAAATGATTGCAAACATGGTGGGGCACTGCCTCCAACGTGCACAGGGCTGCACGTGACCAGGGTTTTGACCCATGGCCATATGCGCGCCAAACAAATCTATCTATATATATAACGGCAATTTTGGTACATGGTTCTCAGCTGGGTGAGGGAATATAGCCAGGCCAGTGTTGTGAGCCTTTTGTAGCCATGTTGGTAAAAATCGAAAATGTCGAATGGGTTTGGAGCGTTACTCGTTTGGGCTTGCATCTGAATGTGGTTTAGCCCCCAAATGGTTAAGCTTACGGATCACGATGGTCTCAGGGGGTCCTCACCTCGTTTTCACTTGAAGGAGTTTGGGTGTTTGCTTGTGGCCAAAACTGGCGCGACTCACTGGAAAACGATCAGGAGTAACGATCATGGGATGAGTTATCGTAATTGGTGCAGGTTATGGCGGCCTTGAGAATGCAATAGAGGGGGGTGACCTTAGGAGTTCCAGTTGCATTTTTTGTGCAAAAGACTACTGGCTTGGGCACGAGGTGGGGAAATTGTTGGCAGAGCTCATGGACCCATGCTAAACAATGCGCACTTGCAGCATAGATTCTGCGCTTCTCTGAGTAGCCCGTGGGGCCCGTCGATTTGGCGAAAGGAAGCAAGTGGATGGAAACAGTTTGGCGTAGTGATTTTTTTTTTTTCAAACGGGAATCCCCCTCCAAGAAATGGTGGTTCTCCTTTCGGTTTCCCTTCGAACTCTCAAAAAGACGCACCCACACGTTCCAGCCAAATTTGACACCTGGTTCAAAGCAAGACTTGTAGACATACGTCGTGCCGCACGTCTTCTCACAGCACAGGCTGCCGAGTGACCCAGGACTAGGAAGCAGCCAGTCTTTCCCCCTTTCTTTTTCAGAAGTACCCTTCCTGCATAGGTGTTTTTTTTTTTTTAAGTTTTCCTGGTAAACAATTGATGGCACGGGCTTAGATCGGTTTTATTCCATTTGCCAGGGCCATCTATGTTTGCCAAAAGGCTAAATGTTCAACCAGGAGCATGGTTCTGGCAAGCTTTGGCAATAGGCGGTTGGTTCAAACCTGCATGATCTTGTCACGTTTCTGCCTCAAAGTTTACACACACACACATATATATATATATAATGTCCTACAATTTTCCTTTGCACCAGGTTGCGAAAACACTTCAAAGGCCACAGCATGCAACGCTTGATGCCCGGGCCACGTGTACCTTTGAGAGGAAACTGATCTTCCAGGTACCCTGCCACAAATGCCTTGTGTTTGTGGGAGGGCTCAACTCTTTTGGACCATGCCCCCGCTTTTTATTGGCTCAAAAAAGAGATGCCTGGTTTCACCCCTTACTTGGTGGTTTCGATTTGGATCTGAATTCTACCTGTTACCATCAAATGAGGAGGGTACCCCCCCAATCCGTCCAAACCACCAAACCAAACCACCAACTGGTCCAAACCAAACCTAGTTCCCCTACAAAAAAAAGACAACGGAAAAAAATCGGGTACCCTTATTCTAACCTCAAACTAGGAGGACCCAGAAACTTCCCCTACTATTCTCCACTACAGAAAAAGTTCGTACCCTTATTCTAACCTCTCTACTGGAGGACCTGAAAACCAAACCAAGCCACTTGTGGGTTAATCAGTGATGCTTTGAGGCTTCAAAACGTTTTCGGCCTCACGCCGAGGCGAGTTCCAGAAGGCGGAGCAGTCGA